TCATATAAACATATAAAATTATTATTAAAAATATCAATACTACCAAAAAAATATTCATCTTAAATTATCAAAAATGAAAATCATCTAAAACTTATAACTTTTGGGGAAATATTTTAAAATTAACACAAAAATCTTAACAAACCAAAAATGATACTTTATGCTAATTTCTGAAGAAAGCAATATAAAAAATGTTTAACTAACAAAAACCATAACATAAATTATTTCTTACAACATGTCAATACAATTAAAATGAAAGTCCATATCGAGAAAGTTAAATTAACAAAAAGAGGATATTAACTTGATATCTATGTTATTTATTTAACAAAATCAATATAAACAAAATAAGTAAGAGAATAAAAAAACTTAAATAATACTAAAAACTTAACTAATAAAAATAAATATTTAAGCTAATTATTTAAGAAATCAATACTAAGAAATTAATTAACTAAAAAACTAAAACGAAAATTAAGTTTTACAAAATATTATTTTTCTAAAAAAACACTTAAAAATATATTGACCTGATATATGACTAACTTCTTTAAAAATTCATATAAAAATATTTAACTAACAAAAAATTTATGTCTTCAAAAGATCAAATATTTTAAAAACAATGGTGTGTTATAATAAAATAAAAATCAATATCAAGGGAGGTAAATTATCAAAGGAAAAAGTCGTATAAAGTAAAATTAGCTTGATATTTAGGCTAACAATAAAACAAATATTAACTAAAAAAGTAAATGATGGTATAAGCTTTTGAGAGAAGTTCACTTAAAATTTAGAATAACTAGTTATAGCATGTCAAAATAGCATTTTAATTAATTTAAAAAGTAAATTTAACAAAGAAAAAGTATTTATGTAAAAGATATTAGATTAATATATATGCTACCTATTTGAAAAATCAATAACAAAAGAGATTAATTAAAAATATATATGTTTTAAGTATATCAAACCTGCAGAAAATTAGATAATTAAAATAAAATATAAAATTACCATCAAAGATATTTAAAATAACAAAAAACAAGATCTAAGAAGAAAATTAGTTTGAAATATAGTTCCAAAAACATTCATGATTTCTAAAATATTGGTGTTGACTATGAATAACCATATAAAGTTTTAATAGGTTATACAAGTTTTTAAATCAAACATATTATCTAAATTTATAAAGATTAATACCTTGGTTGCGTTTGGTTGAAAAACTAACAAAGTAAAATACTACACAAGTAACTTTACATTCAAAATATAATAAGTAATAAAGTCTGATTTGTATACATATTTACTGCTTATAACTTAGTCAACATGAGCAACCCATGAGAAATATCCTCTAAAATTTTATTTAAATAATATAATATAACAAAGTTATGAATCAAATTCAAATAGGAATATATGAAGATAAAATATTTAAATCAAAACATGAATAAACACAGAAAAGATAAAAAAAAACAGTGATAATGTGAAGTCTCAACATCATCTTACATGTTTAAAAACAAATATTAGCAAATAGTTGACTGCAAATAAAGCAGATCTTATAATCTGAATAGAGATATAACCTAAAATTCATAGAAGATCTGGTGGAGAAGCAAAAAGCAGCTTTACACGATTAGTGTAGCTTACTAACAAAAGTAAATCTAAATCAACATATATATTATATATGTATATGTACACAACATTAGTGAGACATTTAGTAAAGAAACTAAATATTTAAACATATAAACCTTTTAAAAAAAAGAACCATAGAAATCCTAAGGATACAAAACAAAACACCAAAAAATAAGTAAGAAAACCATTTTCTAAATCAAACATATGCACATCGAAGTTGGATAATTCGTTAGGTGTCATTACTATGATTTTACTTAATAAGATTTATAACTTTATAAACAAAAATAGGAAATACTACATATGATGTTTTAATTTTTTTTATAAAAGAAAATTTCTATAAATATACTATAGTTTTGATAATTTAAAAATATTAGCCAAAAAGTTAAACCAAATTATTAATACAGACTCGCGCGTAGCGCGAATTAAAAGCCTAGTTATTATAATAGAGGAACATGATTCTCTTGCTTTAAAATGTTACATCTCCACTTTTAAGTTGTTTGTGTTCATCGAGCCTGCCAAAAAGAAAAAGCAGATCTTCAATCACTGAATCTTCAATATTGAATACACATATATATATATATGTATTATATATACCTGCTGAAAATGGTTGAGAATTTGTAATGTAAATGGTGATAGCCCTTGATCAAACCCTAAACTGCTATAAAGATTCTGTATTTCAGAATCCCACATTGGATCAGACATATTCGTTTCGGTTCCAGAACACTGAACTACTTGTTGCACTGGATTGAACTGATTAAGGTAACCGGAGTTAAATATGTCATGAGATGGCATCACAACATTAAGTTGGTGGTTTGAGCCTGAATAATCTGAATTTATTTTACATGAAAATTTTAATATCAAGTTAATTAGACCTGAAATTAAATTTTATTGTATATAAATAAATTGTGAAATAATCCACTTAGCAATTTTATTACAAAACATGACCCTTCCTAAAATGAACCATAAGAGTGGTCCACTAGCGTGTTTTTAATCTATCGTTAGTCAACCAGTAATTTGCATTTAGTCTGCCATTAGTCTGTTAATAGTGTACATTCAATTGTAAGATCTTCAGCCTGCCAGTAGTCTGCATTCAGTCTGTCACTAGGCTACAAGTCAAAATATTTATAAGGATAGCGTTGGTATTTTAAAAAACCATAAAATAAATGTCATTTTCATAATTTTCCCTCAGTGGAGTACCCATTTCACATTATATTCTTATTTTGTATTATTTTGGAGCATTTCCTCTATAAATAAATCACAGAATATTATTGTAAGATTTACTAACCTCTCCGCCAAAAATGTTGTCTACCGCCTCAAAGTCCAACATATGTTTCACTGCGTCCAGTTTCATGGACAAAAAGTGCTTCGAATCCAACAAACAAGATCAAACATTTGTTTAGCAAAAAAAAAAGATCAACCTTTGTATTACGAATAATCATATATATAATTAGAGAAGTTTCTCATCATCTAGAGTGTCCACATCAGCATTTTAATTTAATTTTTGGGCTTTTAAGTAGTTTAGATTTTCACATAATATTAAAAAATGTGAGTTTATTTTTATGCAGGTTTTTTGGGCCTTTTAAGATATTAACTTAAAAAACAAAATACCAATTTTACAAAACACAAAAGCTGTATATATTTATAAAATAATGTATGCTAATTCTAATAAGAAACAAACCGTATATAATTATAAAAGTGTCTCGTTATCTACAGTGTCCACATCAGCATTTTAATTTTAATTTTTTGGGCTTTTAAGTATTTTGGGTTTTCACATAATATTAACAAATGTGAGTTTATTTCTATGCAGGTTTTTTGGGCCTTTTAAGATATTAACTTAAAAAACAAAATACCAATTTTACAAAACACAAAAGCTGTATGTTTTTATAAAAAAATGTATGCTAATTCTAATAAGAAACAAGCCGGATGTGGAAACAGAGGTTAAAATCAAACAATGAAAGAGCTTGCACAGAATAGTTGTTGAAGTTTAAAAAAAAATGTTCAGAGAATTGTATGCAGAAAAATAAAATAATATCATTCATACTTTACGTTGTAAAATGAATGAAAGTTTTTCATTAAAAAAAAGACTAAAGTTTTGCTGTGAAAAAAGACTAAAGTTTAAAATTATTTAGCATAAAAATAAACTTCATCTATAAAATAGGTGACGATAGAAAAAAAGATTTAGGATTGTTGTGATTGAGAATGATTTATAAAAAGTTTCTCTCCAATGAAGCTATACAGCTCAGCAAGTAGTTCTTTTCTTTATGGCTTTTTACATATTGTGATTTTTTTTATCAGCTTCTATATATTTTAGGTTTGTATTTTTTAGGTGTTCATACAAAATAATTTTAAAAGTGAAAAAATAAATACTTATTTTACAAATTATAAAAACTCAAAAAAATTATGAAATAAAAAAGTGAAAATATTATTTAGAATAGAAGACAAAAGAATGTAAAAAAAAGATGGAAGACGAACAAATACAAAATATGACAGAAGAAATTGCGAAGGATAGTAATCAATTTTTTTAAAAAACTTGAGAAGATATATATATATATATATATATACCTACAGTAAAATTATTTATATAAGTTAAATACTTATTTTATAAATCATAAAAACTACAAATTCTTTACAAAATAAAAAAAAATCAAAATATTATTTCAAATATAAACAAAGTGAATGGGGAAAAGAAGTTGGAATGCAAACAAATGCGAAAGATCACGGAAGAACTTGCGGAGTTATCAAACTTAAAAAGAAAAACCAGAAAGATATATGTATAAAAATAAAGTAAAATCATTCATATCTATTTTATTATGAAAATAAATAAAAGTTTTATATGAATAAAAAAGACCCAAATGTTTAATCATATATCATGAAATGAAATTGATCTATACGAAAGAAAAAGTAATAATAAAAGCATGACTATTTGTGCTTCAGAATAAGTTAGAATTTTCTAAAATTTATGAAAAATGAAGAAGTATTCAATTTAAAGCATATTGAGATTGTTGATCTCGCCGAAAATAAGTACTATAAAAAAAGGTAGAAACCAGTTGAATATAAATATATATAGTGGAAAACTTAAATACTTATGACCGCATATAAATGTGGATGAAGTTTTTAAACAATTCACACATATTAAAAACTTCATAATATATCTATATATTTTAGGATAAAAATAAGAAAAATAATTTTAATTAAAATAATTAAAATTAACTATAAAACAATATAAATAAATTAAAAATAAATATAATAAGAATATAAATATATAAAATTATAAATTATAAAAATATATTAACAAATAACTCTGTGCAACGCGCGGATCAAACCTAGTATGTTGTAATAATTATAGGATATTGTTATTACTTTGGTTATGAATTTAAGACCTCAATTTGACTTTGAATAGATTAGACATAGTTAATGATCTCATCAAGTATCCCAGCTTTGCTTGTGATTTTGTTGCATCCAGGAACCAAATCTTGAAGAAGCTTCATTCTCTCACTGATCTTCTCTCTTCTCACCTATACACATCTCAAATTCACTAATTGGTTACAAAAATCTTATATTAATAATCAAATCATGCAAAATATCTTTTGAATAAATGAGTCTAATCTCACTCTTTCAGCTAAGCTGTGACCATCAGTGGCTTGGCCTCGTCGTGCTCTTACAAGAATATAATCACTCTTAGATGAATCGTGTGATGAATTTTGTTGTTCCTTGGTTTCTTTCTTCTTCTTTGTGATACTTTTGGTACTTCCTACGTTTTCCTCTGTTATTTTCAACTTTCCTTCTTCTTCTTCAAACATTCTAATCATCTTCTTGTTCTTACTTTCTTTATCATCTTCTTGCACTAATTCAACAACCCCTGATATATCATGGTTTTTATGGTTTTTAATCATGATATAAGTCCTCTTTATTGAGTCTTTTTGGTCTTTTTAGAGTCCTAGGAGAGTCTTTGCAGGTTATAACATGTCTGGAGCATAACTGGAGATATTAGAGCCTTTTGGAGCATTTCGAATTGAAGCCACGAAGTGCCTAGCTCGGGAAGAAAAGTATGCATATGGGTGACGCTCGTCACCAACCTGGTGACGCTCATCACACAGAAAGGAAGGGGTCGTGGCTGTTTTCTAAAAGATAGAGAATTATTTGCAGTTTTGGCCCAGAAGTTCCAATATTTGCAAAAAAACCTCAGATCGTGTTTTAGCTTGTATATTAGGTTTTTCAGCCATTCTTTTGGCATATATCTTGTATCTTATTATTCTAGAGAGCTTTAGAGAGAGATTTGTAGCAGAGCTTTTGGAGAGACAAATCAAACCCCTTCAGAGCAGATTTTGAACTCCTTTACTTTCTATTTCTTATTTCTTTTATGCAATCTATTCTTTTCATGATGTTTTCACAAATCACCATGTCTGAGTAGTTTGTTAATTAAGTTAGGGCTTTTCAAAGGTTGAAAGAAGAGTTTGTAGAATTGCTAAAAACTTATAGGAAATCCATTGGTTCTTCATCTGTGCTTGCATTCATATCGATTTCTTAGACACATCATATGGATTTCGAAACCCTAGGTTTTTGATAGATGTGAGAGCATTATTAATCACCTGAACTAGTATTAGATGAGCAAAACACCTATTTGCAAAGAGATTTGGCTTAGGAGTTTTGTGAACAATTGAACCTGATCATTACTGCATGTTTAGGTTGTTAGGATTTGCAAAGAGATTTGAAACTCCGTGATTTAGGCATAGTTAACTTCTGTAATGAGAATTGATTAGTTATATCTTTTCGATTCATGTTCAAGACGGTTTTATTCATTCCAAATTGCATGCATTCTACACTCTCGGATTCAACCTGCGAATTGTCCTGACTTAGCGCCTTTAGCTTTCTGAACTTTAAGAACAGTCTAAAAAACGCCCACTTGCTTTTATTACTTTAGTTATTTCGCATTACATTCATTACTTATCGCTTAGCTTAATCCGAACCTGAACTCTTTAGTGTAGTTTACTTACTCCCTTGGGATTCGATAACCCCTTGTACTACAACTGCTTTTGCTGTGCACTTGCAGTAGTTTTATTTGGGTAAAACCTGAGCTCTATCAACCCCCTAAAAACCAAGAAACATATACGATTCCTGATAACTTGCTATTTTAGATCATTTTAGGCTGCATTTCATGCATCTTTTCTTCTGTTTTTGCATTATTAGTCTAGCATTTTAGTATCATTTGCACTTAAAATCAACATAGCATGCATTTAGCTTAGGATTGCATACATTGCATACATGTGCATGTTTGTGGTGGTTATCAGGTGTTTTTGGAGTTTCTTGGAGCTGGGGAAGAGATGGAAGCAGCTCATGATCAAAGAAGATGTCAGAAATGGAGTTCTTGCAAAGTCTGGTCCATATCGAGCAAGCATATCGAGCAGAACACCCGTGGAGTGTGCTCGATGCAAGCAGCAGGACGAGAGGAAAAAGATCAGCACGAGGATTCCAAGCCGTTGGTCTGCATCGAGGACCAGCATTGAGGAAGGACGTCGATACACGCTACACAGACCATATCGAGGTCACATATCGAGCAGAACATCAACCGTACGACCTCGGTGCAACTCATCCGCGTTGACCACTTGAATTTTGTTAACCTTATCCTATCTTTTTAGGTTTTTTATGCTTCTTTTGGCTCCCTACTATAAAAGGGAAGCCACAAAACATTATTTATCAAGTTCTATCTTATCAAAGTTTAGCTTTCTATCAAAAACCTTCTATAAACCGTAAAGGACGATTTGCCTTAAGGATCTTTATCTTTAATAAAGTTTGCATTTTTATGGTTTAATCTTGTCTTTTAATCTTTGTTCTTGCATCTGGGTAGATTAGATTTATCATCTTTTCATTTTAACCTCATCTAGTTATGTTTAACTCCATATCAATGGGATTAAACATGATTAGTGAGTAGTCCTCTTTAGATTTAGGGTTCTAAGTAGGGAAAGCGGTGATTAAGATATGATTAAGGGGTAATTAGGCTTGTTTAATGGTTCTCTGTTATCTCCTTCTCTTGCAAAGTGATTAATGTTGATAAAGCTTGCTCCTTTTGATTGATTATGGTTTGATAGATGCATATGGTTCGCTTGATTTCTTGATATCTCTTTTCTAAGCATGGTTCGCTTATTTGGCTTGATAGTCTAGCTTAGTCTATGTTTCCTTTGTTTAGTGACACCAAAATGATAGTTCACTACATGTAGATGATTCGTTAGGGCTAGATAATGCTGGTTTTGAGATTCTTGCTTGATGGTTAGATAGTATGCATTGAAAGATCTTGCCTTTGCTTTATTCTTGTTCATTTCTTAGCTTTGTTAGGATGTTGCAAGTTTGTGCTTAAATCCATAATCTTGATTGGTGTATGGCTGCCTAGGTCCTTATTGATTGACAAGATTGATAAGTTGATCTGAATTCTTGTTTGGGTGAGAGAGTAGTTGCTTGATTGGTGCATCTCTTAGGCTAGAATGGTTCTGATCTTATGCTCATGGTTGAAGGATACGCCATCACAAGTGGGTCTGACACTTCGATCTTGTTGAATATGAATTGCCTATTGATGCAAAGTGGTTCCTTTTAGATACCTTGTCTAGGAGCATAACATTGAGAATTGCTTGCTTTGTTAATGCTTGTTGACTGCCATAGTAGAAATCCCCTTGTCACTCTTGAAAACCACTATCTCCAAATTGCTTAGAACCTTGAGTTTTGCTTTTAATTAATTATATTTAAGATCATCTTGCTTAGTTTTTGTTTTAGTAGTAATTCTTGCTTAGTTCTTGTTTAGTCATTGCCTTAAGTTCCTTGTTTAATTTTGTTCATTTGCATTTAGTTTATGCTTTCCTTCCATTGCATTATTAGGTTGTTAGACTTGCTCTTGCATAATCAAATCCCCAATCTTGCTTGGCTTACAACATTGCTTGCATCTCATCTTCCACTATTTGGATTGATACCTGATCCCTATTCTACAACTGATTAGAGGCTAAGGAGATTTGAGTTTAGACTTACAAAAAGTTCCTTCATCAAATTGGCGCCATTGCCAATTATGGATTGTTTGAGTTTAACATTGCTGTTAGACTAAGTTCTTTACTTTAAAAGTTACTAATTTGCTCTGTTTTCTGTACTCTTTTTTTCAGGTACTTGTATGAATTTAAGGTCTAAAGGCTCATCAAATCTGACTCCTTTCATTGACAACATCCATAGGAGAAGAGCTGTGAGACAGAGAGTTCAAGAGTTAGAAGAACAGATGATGGCAGAGCAAGAAGCTCAGTTACCACATGTTGGTGTTGTTGGACAAGCACCATTACAACAAGCTGCAGCACACATAGATGAAGCACAAGAAGTTTTGAACCAAGCGGCTGGAGTTCAGGGATTGCGAGTACCAGTTCACGCACCTAGAGCTGCAAGACCAATAGGAGCTGGTGATGCGCCTGATACTCACCACAACAGGAATGTCATTCATGCTCCAGTTGTACATCAAAACCACTTCGAGATCAAACTTGGGTTGATCAACATTGTGCAAGGCAACATATTCCATGGCCTGCCCAATGAAGACCCTTTGGATCATCTTGACCAGTTTGATAAGGTGTGTGGTATGACCAAGATTCGAGGAGTCTCTGAAGATGCTTTGAAGCTGCGCTTATTCCCTTTCAGTTTAGGTGACAAAGCACATCAGTGGGAGAAGACACTTCCACAAGGTTTAATCTCTACATGGAATGAGTGCAAGACAGCATTCCTCAACAAATTCTTCAGCTCAACAAGAACAGCAAAGCTCAGGAACACCATAAGCAGCTTTACTCAGCATGGGAATGAGACATTTGCTGAAGCATGGGAGTGGTTCAAGTCTTACACTTTGCAGTGCCCATACCATGGCTTCACAAATGAAAACTTGCTGTCTACTTTGAATATAGGAGTGACGCCAAAGTACATGATGCTCTTGGATACAGCATCAAATGGAAATTTCATGGGCAATACTGTTGTAGATGGTCTAGCTCTTGTGGAGAACTTGGCACTTTCTGATGGAAACTATGGTGAAGTATATGACAGAATATCTAGAGCTGTTGTAAGCGCTGAAGGTGAGAGCACAACAAAGAAGGAGATTAAAGCTTAGAATGACAAGTTAGACATGCTGCTGAGTGTGTCTTTCAAGAATGTCAGTTTTGTTGGTGATAGTGTTGCTACACAAGAGGAAGATGTCATATATCAACAAGGAGGCGGTTTTAACAACTACATGAACCATCCCAACTTCTCTTATAGAAGCACTAACGTGGCTAACCCTCAAAATCAAGTCTATCCATCACAAGCTGCTCAACAAAACCAAGGAACCAAACCTTTTGTTCTTTTCAACCAGCAGAACAACTTTGCTCCAAGACCACCATTTCAGGGCAGTTTTCAACAAGCTAACTTTCAGCCACGACCAGCTTTTATCCCACAGGTTTTGGCAATACACAAACCTCTTCCAGCACTCAAGATGTTGATTTGAAGCAGATGATGCAACAGTTGTTGACTGGTCAAGCCAACACCACTATAGAGCTGCACAAGAAATTTGCTGAAGTGCATAACAAAATAGACGTCACTACTTGTGACCTGAATGACAAGTTAGATGCTCTGAACCAAAGAGTCAAGTCTCTAGAAAGTAAAGGAGCTTCATCTTCAAAACCTCAGAATTAGTTACCAGGAAAGAGTGAAGCAAATCCTAAGGAATTCTGCCACTTGCTTGCTGAAGAGGATGAAGAGTTTGATGATGAAGATGCTTCATTGGAAGAGCTTGGCATTATGC